GCGGCGCGCGTCAGCCCAGCTGGGCGCGAGAGGCCAAAGTGGCCGGGTGGCGGCAGCGGGTGCCCAACTTGCAGGCTTCAGTCCCCTGCCCCCATCGAGCGCCCTCCCGCCGAGCCCCCGCGGACCCGCCCCCCCGGGCTCGCTCCGGGCGGGGCGCGAACCCGCAGCCCGCGCGGCCGCTCAACTTCGCAGGGCCCAGGCGGCAGCAGCAGCAGCAACAGCAGCAGCAGCGCGGTGGCCGAGAGTCAGCCTCCGCCGCAACCGGTGGCTCCGGCCTCTCCGGCTCTTCGCCTGCGGAGGCAACGCCGCCGACCCCCTGCGCGGATCTGGTTTGCGTCCTGAGGCCGCTCGGCAGGTCCGTGACCGTTTCGTTTTCTCTTCCCAAGTCTTGTTTTGTTCGCTGTAAAGACGGCCAGAGGGACGAGCCCTGTGTCCTGGGAAGCAAGGCCTGCTCTTTGCGGAGCAGAAAAGCCTTGTGAGACCAGAAATAAATTCCCGCGGAAAGGATATACGTCGTGTTAAGTCCCCCACCGCCCTGCGAATGCCAGCTGTTCGAGTGGGGTCTCAAAGTAAGCTGTCAAAGCCAGGTTGTCTTTAGAGCTTGCCTTGCAGTGGGGTGGGACGCTCCTGTCTCAAGTAGGGCTTTTTTACTTGGTGGGCGCGCTTCCCCGCGGGTCACTCAAAGCAGTTACTGGCCCCAAGTGGTGTCTTGTGATTCCTGTATTTACCAAAAAGATCTGAAGGAAGTAGAATGGATTTTGTCAATGTCTTCGTATGGCCTCTCCTGAACCATGATTTTTAAGATGTCATACTTTATTTTATCTGAAGCAAAATGAATGCTTCGAGCATGTAACTGTTGTTGTGTCAGCTGTCTAGATGGGGTGGAGGAAGATGAACGTGTTTTCATAAGTACACATTGGGGCCTGTTAACTCTTAGCAAATGTTGAACTCTTCTAGGCCACAGGTAGATTCAGAGTTCAGATTTGTTTGCAGTGTCAGGAACAAAACAACCAGTTGGAACTAGAGGGACCTGAGAGAAGGAAACAGTTGTGTTATAACGTTAGTACGTTGCCATTGACGAGCCGCCTTATCTTGGGGTAGATGTCTTATCCAGTGTGGTTTTTGATTTTCCTTATTATTTGCAAAAGTGGGATAAGTAGATCACCATTCTTTCGGTTCTAAAATTTGGAGACTTAAAATGAAATTAGAAAAATAAGTTTTGAAAGGTTCTGTCTACATAAAGTTACTCACAATATGTGTCTTTATAAAAATAGATGGGGAAAACCATCTTGTTAGCTAAATCCAGAATCATTCTGTGAACTTTATTCGAACACAGACTTTTAAAGAAGGCATTTCAATATACTTAAGAAATTACACCTTTCAAAGTTTAACAGTGAAATCCGAAGTTTTACATATGCATATGTCTTGATGGCCGTATACACATTAAGGTACAGAGCATTTCCAGCCCTCCCCACCAAGAGGTTCCTCTAATTGAGTAAACATCTGCCCTTTTCCCAAGACGGCCACCAGTCTGACCTCTAACATAACCAATGAATTTTGCCTCCAAGCAGGACCTTTAAGAATGAGAAAGGGGCAGTATTAAGTATCGAAGGATAGCAGGTACTTGACCTCAGAGATGTCATTTTAGTCCTGATGCTGTGTTTTTGTACCAGTGTAGGGTTCCATTATCTACAGGGTTTTAAGCTTCCGACCTTTAAGCTTTGTGGTCAGAAGGCTGTTTTTTACTGAGTAGTTTTTGCTGTGTTAGGATCGTGATTTCTGGGAGTCTTTATGTTTATAGTCGAGGTTATATTATTATATCATTACCCACTTTGGGATACAGATATATTTATAGAGAATAGGTTTGAAGGAAGAATTATGAATTTTCTGAACTATTTAAAGGTGGTAGTAGATGAATTAATTCCGTTAAGTGTAGAATTTGCAATGAAAATTGATTTTTTTTGTTAAGTCCAGTGAATTAATAATATGGTTGTAATGCTTTAACTACCTTTAAATGACAGGAGTTAACTTGATTTATGCATATAGGATGTACTCCTGGTTTATCAACTCATTAAAAGTCTAACAGTAAAAGTAAGAACAAAATATGAATAAAAATTATGTCAGCTGCAGCTTTTATAAAGTCCAAAGTGCTTTAACTAAAGCCACTTTTTGTATTAGGACCCTAGCCAAAAAGTTGAGTGTTAAATATCCACTGGGAGTAAATGCTGCAATAATTTGCTAGTATCTCCCAAATATTTTTTAATGTATTCATGTGCCCTTTGTTTCTACTGCTAAAGGAGACAGGTAGGTTCTAAGTGAATGCTTATCTTGTTAGCTTCTAGCAAACTCCTAGGTTTTTTGTTTTTTGACTGCAAAGACATCTGTGTGAGAGAAAGTTGGAATGGTTTACTACCCATGTTAGAGATTTATGTAGACTACTTCACAAAGGTCAAAGGTTGGTTTTTTTTCCTGTCTAATCAGCATGTTGATGGGCCAACAACTAATTTAAATTTGGTCATTCCATTCAAAGTTTACAGCTTAAAGAACTAATAGAATACATGATGATTCAGCCACCATCGATGAACTGCTTGAGTTTTCTGAGGCCTTTTTTTTTTTCCTTTTGAATTCTTAAACTGCTGAATCTTTGGGATGCAATTGAGGGCATATATAAGAAACAGAAAATGCAAAAGGGGCTTTCTTCTCTTTAATTGTTTCTTTGGGAACCATGGTTTTCCCCTTTAAAAATGCTTTGCCATGTATGTGCTCACAAATATACATACAGAGATTTTAAATAAATAAATGTTAAAAATAAAGCTTTGGTAGCCAGGCATCATGATATAGGCCTGAAGTGCCATCATTTAGGAAACAGAAGGATTAGGAATTCAAAGCCATCCTGTGCTACACAGGATGAGTTTTAGGCTATCATGGGCTACATGAGAGTTTCTTTGACTCAAAAAAACAAATCCAAACTATACAAAACCAAACCATCACCAAAGTGCAAATATCTTCCTTGCCTGCACATTTGTAGGGTGGGCTTTGTCATAGTGATAACTAGAATGAGCTTAGCTTTAGATGTAGTAGAAGATGTCATTTGAATTTAATGTCTAGGCAGGCGGTGGTGACGCATACCTTTAATCCCAGCACTTGGGAGGCAGAGGCAGGCGGATTTCTGAGTTTGAGGCCAGCCTGGTCTACAGAGTGAGTTCCAGGACAGCCAGGGCTACACAGAGAAACCCTGTCTCGAAAAACAAAAACAAACAAACAAACAAACAAATCTAATGTCTATAGAAAAGATGAACAAATCAAACTTTATTGACCTTAGGTTATAGTCACATTAAGTGACAACTACAGAATATTATTTATACAGGAATCTGAATGCTAAATATTATATTAAATTTTCCATTTTAAAAATTTAAACAGACTTTGTGGCATTATTTGGCTGATAGTTAATATTTTATAGCAATTTCAGTGAAATTATAAAAATGTACCTGGTAAATGGTGCAGATTTGCTATGGCAGAGTGTTTTCCTTTTTTTTTTTTTTTTTTTTTTCCTTTTCGAGACAGGGTTTCTCTGTGTAGCCCTGGCTGTCCTGGAACTCACTCTGTAGACCAGGCTGGCCTCGAACTCAGAAATCCGCCTGCCTCTGCCTCCCAAGTGCTGGGATTAAAGGCGTGCGCCACCACCGCCCAGCGAGTGTTTTCCTTTTTATGAATACAATTTGTATCTAATTTGGGTATTTTTGTATTTGAAAACAGTTTTTCTTTATACTTGGTTGTTAAGCTAGGGGCAAGTGTCTGGGGGTTTTGGTTACCCAAGTTTTTAGCCATTAGACTTTAGGGAGTGGGGTTTTGTTAGGCTACTGTTATATTTCAAGTGATACCAGCCCCACTGGAAAATGATTTACAAACAGAAAAGATGTAGTTAGGTTGTTGAAAATTCATGTTTAAAGTTTTCAAAAGTGAGGGTAAGGAGAATTAAAAACAACTTATTAAAGAAAAAATGTAGACTTTCCTGCAAGTTTTCTGCTGGATGGTGGTGACTCATTCCTTTAATCCAAGGACTTAGGAGGCAGAGGCAGGTCTCTAAGTTTGAGACCAGCTTGGTTTACAGATTGAATTCCAAGGCTACACATAGAAAACCTGCCTTGGGATGAGAGAGAGAGAAAAAAAAAAGAAACAAAGAAAAAAATTTCTTTTCATTAAAGTTGTTTTTTTTGTTTGTTTGTTGCTTGGGTTTTTTGGGGTGGGTATAACTGGGCATGTGTGGAGGTCAGATGACTAATTTTTAAGTTTGTTTACTTGTTCCATTTTGGGTTTTTGTCTTTAAATTTATTTATTTGATTTTACATAGATGACTGTTTTAGTTGCATATAGGTATGTGCACCACCTGAATGCTTGGTGCCAGTAGAGGTCAGGAAAGGTGAT